TTCAAGCAACTTTTGTTTTTGTTTCGGATTTACAGCATCCGCAGTTCTTTTGGTTTTTATTTAGTATGAAAAATAATGATTCAAACCCTTTTCCTAGCAATACCCATTATAATCACTCAATCCCTGTGAAATATCACTCGTATCTTGAATTTTGTATTCAAATGATTCTTTCCCATTCTTCTCCTGGGACTGTTGAAGCAGCTCAAGAATTCCTTTCAGCTCTGATGGCCTGGATATGTTTTTCTAATTATGACAGTCTGAAGATTTATACCAACTCAACTTCTGTTGATATAGCTTCTCTTCTGAACTCAACCTACTGGTGGTCCCTGACCAATAATGCTCACCTTAGTAAACATTCAGTAATTAACTCCCCAGAAACTGACTGAATCATTTAACTTTGTTCACATACTTTCTCAAAATCACTACTTCACTGCTCAAAATGGCTTCCTGAACTTTTCATTAGGAAAAAACCAAATCATCTTCAGAACTAAATTCACGTTTCCTTTACTTTCAAACCAAGTTCCCAAATAATAACAATATGCTGCAAACTTTCACAAATAAAATTGACAGATGTTCACAGTTTTAAATGTAGCTCCAGCCTTAAATGAATGCATTTGATTAGATTCCATAAAGTCAGGTCATCAACTGACAAATTTCAAGGAAACCTCTGAGGAAGTTCTGAGGAAGGGTCACCAGACCCGAAACATTAATTCTGTTTTTTTCTTCACAGATGCTGCCATACTTGCTGAGCTTTTCCAGCAACTTCTGTTTTTGTTCCAAATTTCAAGGGAGGTTGTCCTATTCCAATTTATGATGATTAGGGTGCACCATGATTTAGACATGCAAATAATGTTTTGAGTTTATTCAAATGTAAAAGTAAATTGCAAAAGAGTGCGGTTAAGGTAGTCGTCCTGTTTTTGATTGTACAAGACAGTGTATTTGAAACAATATAATTATTACATTTTCATAGTCAGGAGAAATCAAGTGACTGCATATCCTGAATTAGCTTAAGTGGAACAGTAGAAGGGAAGGTGTTGGTCAGATCTTAGAAAACACTAACTGCTGAAAGAAATTGCTCCAGGTGACTCTCTGCAGACGCATTCCAGCACACCAGATAGAGAGGGATTAACTTCAATACTTTAGCCAACAGCCCAAAGGGTTTACATGTCAGATCACCATCAAGACTATAGACTTAATATTGAAAGCACATAGATGCTATCCTTTAACTTGCTAACAAACTTCCAGTTTAATGCCAAATGTCCAAGCAACAAATGGTAACTATCCCATTCCTAAAATATTTTCAACCAATCTGTACACAGAATAACCCTTCTAAAAAGCACAATGGACAGATCTCTTACTCAACAACAAATGTTATAAAGTGTTATAATTCTTCCAACTGAATTTGATGGCTCAAGCATTGCTGGAAGTGCCGCCCTTATCTAATATTTGCCATCAGATTTTCAACAGTTGTTTTATTGAGCAGCTGTGGGTGGAACTGAAATAAACTCAGAATGGGTTAGAAATTAACTAACCATCTACAACTGCTACATCTGTTAAAGAAAGATGCAAACTAGACAAGTTTCTAACAGTATTTATTTTTAGCCTTGTGTTATTATAAAATTTATATTTTGCCTCTAATTACTTGATGATCTACCACTTTAAAACAATTTGAACTTTGAAGTGTAGTAACTGTTGTAATGTAGGAAGATGCAGCAGTCAATTTGTGCAGTTAGGTCCGACAAACAGGCAAAGGGCCTTAGTTTCAATATCTCCACCAAAAGGGGCACACCTCTGACTATGCAGAACCACCTCTGCACTGGAGTGTTGGCCTGAGGTTTGTGTTTAAGTCTCTGGGCCCTGAATACAGACTACTAACTCAAAGCTTCGACTGCTATCCCGAGTCAGGACTGACCAATGGATCCTGAAAGACAGGGGGCTGTCACCCAATTCCCAACCATTCCGGGTGATAATAACAATCAAGAAAATAATATTGGAACTTCTTCACCAAAACTGAGCCGAAGTGAGATTTTCTGAAATGGAAATGGTGACTTTTTCCCCTGAACAACGTGGTCCAGGGTGAGGACTTTCTCAGTGTCAAAAACAAGATGCCAAGATGGGATTCTCACTAGTGGGTGTCACGAGGCCTATTAGCATAGATTATCATTCATTAACAGCCTCATTATTACTTAATCCAGCCTCATCACAACGCACTCTCCTATTTTACCACCTACCAGACAGAAACCAGATACTGAGAAGTGCCAATGTGGAAGTCAGGGCAGTTACTTGGTGACACTAGTTCATCATTTGTGGACCTCAATCTTGGACACCCAGCATCAACATCGCAGTACCAGTCCATGGGCAGTGACCACATGCACACCACATCCATGGACACTGGCATCTGCCAGGCTCACTGCATTATGGCACATCTCTGAACTACTCATCCAGCTTCCACTTGACGACATCGCAGCTGAAAGTCCACTCAGCATGGAGGGGAGTTACAGGAGGCTCAGAGACTATCATCCTCAGGAGCAAGATGCAGTGTTGCTGCAGACTGATCAGAAACTGAACTGAACTGGACATATACATACTGTGGCTATAACAGCAGGTCAGAGGCTATGAATTTTGCAGTGAACAACTCCCCTCCTGAGTCCCCAAAGCCTGTCCACCATCTAAAAGGCACAAGTCAGGAGTGTGATGGAATAGTGCATTGCGCTCCGACAACACTCAAGAACCATCCAGAACAAAACAGCCTGCTTGGCTGCCATCACTTGCAAGACTATCTCAAACCAACTCACCATCCTGACTTGGAAATACGTTGCTGTTCTTTCAGTGTCACTGGTTGAAGGAGGCAGCCTGCCACCACCTTCGCAAGGGCAACTAGAGAGGGACAATAAATGCTGGCCCAGTCAGCGACGCTGTCATTCTGTTAAAAAAAAAGTGTATGCCAGGTAGCCTGAAATGATGCCCATATCCTTGAGAGCTCCTGTTTCTGCTGCATTTGAAGGAGCCAGATTCCCTACTGGGGGCATCTGGGGCAAAGATGGTTACTGGAGCAAAGGTTACCCTCTGAGGCCAGAGCTGATGACTCCATTGTGCAATCCCCTGACTATGGTGGAATGTGGATACAATTACAACCCATTCTTTGACCAGGGCCCACTGTATAGCAGACAATAGACCTCCTGAAGCTGAGGTTCTGCTGCTTGGATTGGTTGCAGGTGCAGGGATGAGAGAATCTATCATATAATCCTAGCACAATGTGCTCTTTGCAAGAAGAGCAGCAAAAGTGGCGAAATGATGGATGCTGATGAGCTGGGAGAGCTGGAGCAGTCTTCCAAGAGGAAGGTGAGGATACTAAGCAGGAGGAACTTAGCTTTCTGCACAGTGTAGCAGTGCAATGTCTGTTGTTGCATGCCAGACAGGTAGATGAAGGCTCAGAGTCGTGACCATTCATTGACTGGGTCCCTGGGCCAAATTCGTGTAACTACCTCCCTAACAAGCATTGTGTTTTTACCTACAACACATGAACTGCAGCAGTTCACCACCACCTTCTCAAGGCAACAAGGCTCAGACAATAAATGCTGGCTCAGTCAGTGATGCCCACATTACCCTATGAACAACTTTTCTTTTGGTAAGATTCTGGGCAAGAGTGACCGTTGCAGAAACAGAAGCAGTGATCTAGAGAGGGTTTTAAGGTGGGATGTTTCGAAGGACAGGTTATCTGTATGGCTTGGTGCTTGAAGATTGATTAAGTATAAGAATGTGCAGTTGTGTGTGCAGGCAAGTGTTAGCCCTGCCACCTACGTGCCCTGAGAAGCATTGGCTTGTGGCTGCTGTCCCTCTGCATGAATGGAATCTCTGGATTGCCAATGCCTAACCCATGCTCAAAGTTGCTTCCTGTGCTAGACATCTTGGGATAATTTGGCAGTGGCAAGTTTCCACCTATAGCAATTGGTAGAATCAGGCTAACATTTGGACCCAAGGAGTGCCAATATGGAGTTAATGAAGCGAGTGTGGAATGATAACACTGAGAAGTCTCAGCAGACCTTGTAGAAAGGTCAAAAAATGACAAAAGTGCCACTGAGCCAGTTTCTGGTAAGGTTGAGACCGTAATTAGCAGTCTATTGCAGAAAGATGTAAAGATGTAAAATACAACTTCTGAGCTATTTCCTTATTTAAGAACCTCATCAAAAGTCAGGTTAAATGGAGTCTAAACAAAAGATGTAGTCAATATAGTGTGTGGGGAAAATCCATTGTCTTATTTCAAAAATTAAATTTCAAAAGGAAAACAGAAGTTCACCTGTACAAAGCAATTCTTCCAAGAGCTCCTGAAGCTGGTCTGTGAGGCATCCTGTCTGTTCTGTAGTTCGTTGAACCTTTTTCTGAGATGGTCTATTTATCATCTCCCCGCGGCAAATCCGGGTTCCACCTGCAACTTTCTTTTTAGAAGTACCCGACATACATCTGAAGCCACAATCTGCTTCAGAGTTTTCACTAAACATTTCAGAAGGTAGTGATTCTGCAGAGTCTCGGTTTGGCATCTCTGCGTTTTCTGGCGCTGTTTCCAAAGGCTCATCTTCATCCACATCAGTGTCACGTGGGCCTTCCGAAGTATCACTTGCTGTACAAATTACCTATGGCATATATAGTTGTGAAAAGAATCAAATTATCACACACAAGTTCATAAAAATACATTTCCTTTTACAAACATATTGAATAGTAAATTACACAAATACATCTAGTTACTATGTCAACTTTGTTTCCCTGTCTTTCCTGCTCTCAACTGCAGCTTTCCAAAATCTCTGCATTCCTACCAATTCTGGCCTCTTATCCATCCCAAATTTTCACTGCCCTATCAGTGATGACAGTACCTTCCTCCCTTTGTCTATCTCAATTTTCTCAAATAACTTCGTTAAACCCATTGAGAGGCGACCTTATAGCAGTTTATAAGATAATGAGAGGTACAGATAGAGTTAATGGTAGCTGTCTTTTTCCTAGGATGGGGGATTTCAACTCTAGGGGACAGATTTTTAAGGTGAGACTAGAAAGATTTTAAAAAGACACGAGGAGCAATTTGTTTTACACAGAGGGTGGTTCGCGTGTGGAATGTACTTCCTGAGGACGTGGTGGATGTGGGTACAATTACAACATTCAAAATACATTTGGATAAGTACGTAAATAAGAAAGTTTTGGAGGGATATGGGGCAGGAGCAGGCAGGTGGAACAAGTTTAGCTTGGGACTACGTTCGGCATGTACTGGTTGGACTAAAGGGTCTGTTTCCATGCCATATGACTCTATGACTCTTCACATTCCTAATTCTCTCCTCATCTAACTTACCACACAAAATCGACTTCTTTGACCAAATGTTTTGTCATGTACCCCAAAGTCACCTTGTGTCTTTTGTTGTCAATTTTTTTTTGGTGACAGTGACAGAAGCACCTTGAACTACTTTACTTTCTCAAAATTACCTTCAACCCACACTCGCAAGACTTTCCAGTTCTTTGATTCAAATCTGATATGGACCACAATCTGCTGGCAATGATTCCTCATATCAACGCCTATGTTTTGTTTTAATTTACTCATGGGATGTGGGTGTCGCTAACTGGGCCAGCATTTATTGCCCATCCCTCGTTGCCCTTGAGAAGGTGGTGGTGAGCCACCCTCTTGTACTGCTGTAGTCCACATGCTGTGGGTTGACCCACAATGCCCTGAGGGAGGGAATTCCAGGATCGTGACCCAGTAACAGTGATTGACGAGGTTGGGATTGTTTTTGCTAGAGTTCAGACGAATGGTGGGGAATCTCAGAGACCTATAAAATTCTAACAGGACCGGACAGGCCAGGCAGACGCAGGGAGGATGTTCCCAACGGTGGGTGTGTCCAGAACCAGGGGTCACAGTATGAGGATTTGGGGTAGTCCATTTAGGACGAAGATGAGGAGATATTTCTTCAGCCAAGCCTGTGGAATTCATTATCCCAGGAAGTAGCTGATGCCAAAACATTGAACGTATTCAAGAGGCGACTCGATATCGCACTCGGGGCAAATGGGGTAAAAGGTTATGGGGAGAAAGCAGGATTAGGCTATTGATTTGGACGATCAGCCATGATTGAGAAGAATGGCGGAGCAGGCTCGAAGGGCCGAATGGCCTCCTCCTGCTCCTATCTTCTATATTTCTATAAGGCAAGTTAGCATCATGAATGGCTTTGTGGAAGGGTGGGGGGGCTTGCAGTTGGTGGCATTTGCATGTAACCACTGCCCTTGTCCTTCAAGGAACTGGTCATGGGTTCAGAAGTGCTGTTTGAGGATCTTTAGCAAATTTTTGCAGCATATCTTGTAGACAGTACAAAATGCTGCTATTAGCTTCAGTGGTGAGGGACTGAATGTTATGAATGTCATGCCAATCAAACAGCCGCTTTGACCCCCCTCGCCGTGCATTTGCGGTGAGATTCCGTAATGGAATCAGAAGTCAATTCAAAGGACCATTAATCCCTGACTCTCTATTTAATGGACATAATCAATGTGCTAGCGCACCCCCAATTGGAACATTATTGTGTGGTAAAGGTGCCACAGATACATAAATTGGTACTATTACTTTGCGTTTGCGTTGATGGAGTTAGTTCTAGTCACCAAGTCACAGAGGAAGTCTAGTGGTGCTGGGGTTG